GGGTGGGTTGACTACAAAATTTTTGTAGTTCGCTATAACTAGAGCTACTTCAAAAATATGTAGTCAGCTACAACTACTGCTACTTTTGAACAAAGGTAGTTCGCTACTGACTATAGCTACTGCTTAAAAAATGTAGCGAACTATTTCGCTATTTCGCTACACCATATTTTTTAGTTTTACTATATTTGGAGCATCTACTAACCCAGGCTGTAATGTAATGTATGGCCATCTATAACAAATCGACTTACGAGTAGCAACAGTAAACACAAAGCAACATTTTTTGTGTTTAGGATGTTCAGGAGTGCAAATTGACTATTGAGTATTGATTTTAAGCAAACCGTGTCTCAATATCATGCTATTCTATCAAGTTGCTAACAATTTTAAAAAGTAGCGAATAGCGATTCGCTGTTTGAAAAGTAGTCAACTACTTGGCTACTTTTAGGCAAAATGTAGTTTTCTATACTGTAACTACAACTACTGTTTTAAAAAAGTAGTCAAAAACTACTGGCTACTTGAAAATTGTAGTTCGCTACAGTAGCGAACTACAACTACTTCGCTACAACCCACCCTTGGGTGTAACACCCCCCAAATAATAGTAAAAAAGGGGGCCCAACTTGCGGAGATGGGGGCCTGAAATGCTGGAGTTGCGGAACGTTTGATTTCGGGAATGGAACGTCAACCTCCCCCCCCCCTTTTTTGAGGGGGCCCTGGAATGGGAGGGGGCCCAAATTTTTCAATTCACTCCCCCCCCCAACCAGATACCACTTGGCACGGCCCTACATATGTTTCCTTATTTAACACATTGAGTGTCCCCCTCTTGACAAGTAAAATTGTTTGGCATTAGATAATCTGGGTAATATAATAAGGTCCCAGTAGAGTGCATAATATAATAAGGTTACTATACAGTTGTCTGTAGTGTTGTCAGTTGGTGAAGATGGTCTAACGTAGATGTAGAGTATTAATAGTCGCGTATCAGATGGTTCTACTGTTCACACATTAGAGGCATGTCAGATGGTGCATCTAAGGGTTTTTTTTGTTACGTGTGGTGTAAGGTTTTGCCAAATGGTTAATGGTCCTTGAGGAATGGTTTGTCAAATGGTGTAAGTGTTGTCAGGTCACCAGGTGGCTGGTGTAATGAAGGTGTAGTGTATGATGGTTATTCAGGGCAAATGAGTTATATGTCAGATGGTGTAAGATTGTCAAGTTGGATGGTTGTCTTTAAATAAAGAACATTACACAGTTGCGTTTTAGCCAATTTTTCAAATGTAGATATTCTTTTTTGGTTGTATTTAGGCTGCAATCATATTACATATTACTGTACATGTGGAAAAGGTTATATGTGCATTTGGTTAAAGGATAAATTATGTATATACGTTGTCACATGCACACCAGCTTTGTGCACATGCAAATGAACGATTGTGTTAAAATGTATTGCAAATATTCTTGACACCTTGTGATTTGGCCATGTGGAAGCCAGGAAGGGTCTACATATACAGTACGTAGTGTGAGCCATGCGAGGCACCAAAAACATGGGAGTCACACAAGAATACTGTGAGCCATGCTTCGCATAAAAGTTTCAAATGTCAGATTAAATTTCAGTAATTCCACGCATATCTGCTCATAAAACCTAAAAATATGACGTTTAAAACTGTCAAACTGTTATACACCTAGCTGAAGTTTTGGAGACTGCATTGTCTTTTAGCCACCTTACGTACCTGTAACAAAAGACGAGGTACTGTAACTAAAGACATCTGCACCCATTCAGATTCTCAGTAGTCCCGTTTTGTCCCATGTTAAGTCCTGTTGCAAAGGAGTGGCTGCATGTGGAAAGCCAATATAGCTATATTTTAAGTAATAATAGTTGTTTATATTCTGTTTTGCAAGGTATTGGTCGAGCAACAGCTATATTGTTGGCAAAATGTGGAGCAAATGTTATTGCACTATCAAGAACCCAAAGTGATCTTGACTCTTTGAAAACAGAGGTAAAAAAATTCTTTGTATGGTTTGGGAATAGATTTATCCCCGAGCCGGCGGCGCGAAGCGCCGTGCGAGGGTACTAATTCCCCCCGGCTATTTACACCCGGGGAAACGAAATCATTAGCGAAGTCTAAAGTTCATCAAATATCGCGGGCGTGGCTCACCAACGATGTTTCGGTGGGTGGTCATCCTCACCACAGAGTAGATAAGACATACAGAGACGTAACTGACCGTTGTAAACACTGCGGAAGATTACATTATCATGTACCCACTTTTTTTCAGGCGACCGGGCGAAAAATGATCAACTGCGCGTGCTCAGCAAGTTTAAAGTGAGTCGTCATCAGGTCGTCATCCAATCAGATGCATGCATCTAGTAACTTGCCGAGCATGCGCACAAAAAAGTGGGTACACTAGTTACGTCTCTGTATGTCTCTACTCTGTGTCCTCACTGATCTCAAAAATATGGCGGACTGTCATGAATAGCGGACACTGATTGGTCCAATTTAAAGTTTGCATTATAACGACTGCATGACGACAGCGAAATAGCAAACATTTCTTGATTTGATGATTGATAAATTTCTTGCAAACATATTTCATTTTTGCTCGCATTTTGGCAAGATTTTGTAAATTTCAAAAGCTCTCTCAGAAAGAAACTGCGAAAGTATGGGGCGCCGAAGCGGACAAAACTGCTATATGCACAAATATCCATGCTCTTCTGTAAACAGCATACAAATGCATGCTAAGTTAAAATAAAAGCACTCAAAATTCCAAAAACACATCCTGAAATCTAAAACTAAATAAAAATTAAACAGTTCTTATCAGTTCGCCAAATTATATGCCTGCTAATCAATATTCGCAAAAATACATGCCAATTGACAAATATACATGCTAATTAATATTCCATAAATATAAATTAACCCGCAAAACACCTGATAAATTTCGTTAAACATGGCGTCTCATTCAAGCAGAAGTGACAGTTTCTCACGTTTTTTGGATGTATTAAAGTCAGTTCTTGCTCAAACACAGAGCCTTTTTGAAGAAGGACCGTTATCCGATAACCGTGTAGCTTCTTTAGATGCTCTTGAAAACTTGTCAATAAAAATGGATGAAATTTGCGAGACGTTGGTCGTATTCCTGAATAGCTTTATAAATCCTACAGATGACCCTTTGTGGGAGCAATTATATCATCTATTATGCGTTTTTCACGGAATAAAAAAGTATATAGAAGAAGAAACTAACAAGCTTCGTGAGGACGAAGAAAATGCAGAGATGCGTACTTCGAGTGTTGTAGGCACCAATAATGGAGGCCGTCCTAGGTATGAAATTGATGAAGAACAGGTAATGTTCTTACGATCAAAGCATTTTACATGGAAGAAAATCGCGCAAATTTTTGGTATTTGTGACCGTACTCTACGACGGAAACGACAGGAGTTTACTGCAAGAACGGAAAACTTTAGTGATATATCTGAGGCTGACCTTTGTGAAGTAATTGAGAGTATTCGTTTTCTGACCCCCAATATTGGACAATCTCGCTTACTTGGGGCTCTTAGATGCAGAGGACTTACCATTCAAAGATGGAGGGTACGACATTGCCTAAGAAAATTAGACCCAGTGGGCACAGCATTGCGTGGTCATGTGGCTATCTACAGAAGGAAATACAATGTACCATACCCAAATTTTCTTTGGCACCTGGATGGTAATCATAAACTCATTAACTGGAGAATGGTTGTGCATGCTTGCATTGATGGCTTTAGCAGAATGGTAATTTATGTGTCATGCCAAAACAACAATTTAGCTTCTACTGTTTTTAATTTATTTCTTGACGGTGTTTCCAAGTATGGTTTGCCAAAAAAGATAAGAACTGACCATGGGTTAGAAAATGTCCATGTTGCTAGGTATATGCTTCAGCAAAGAGGTACAGATTGTGGCAGTGTACTTACTGGAAGATCAGTGCATAATGTAAGAGTGGAGCGACTCCATAGGGATGTGCATTCTGGTGTTCTCTGCCATTATGCTTTACTTTTCACTTTTATGGAAGAAGAAGGTTTACTCAATGTTGATAGTGAAGAGCACTTGCTAGCTCTTCAGGAAGTATTTATTCCACGCATCAACAGGAGCCTCAATGAATTTGTGAACCAATGGAACAGCCATCCAGTTAGCAGTGCTGGGCATCAGAGCACAGAGCAGATGTTTATTACCGGTTCGTTAAATTCTGCTACTTCCATTCATGGTAATGAAGATTCACCTGCTGAGTCTGATGAGACAGTAGGGGCTGGACTTGCAGAAGATGACATGCTGGATCCTGATTTCATTGTACAAGAAGAGCTTTATGCAGTATTTGTTCCACAAACCGAACTTGAAATTCCCAGCAATCTAAGCAGTGAACAGTTTTTAACTGATGATGGCAATTATGGAATTAATCATTTTATCACATGTTTACGAGCAATACAAGAAAACAATTAATAATTAATTGAAACGTTTTATTGAAACAATTTACATTTATCTTTAATTTATAAGAATATAACAACTGACTAGCAATATGACTCTCCCTGATTGTTTTTGCAGTAGTAACAATGGAGGTCAAGACATGCACTGAAACTTAGTTTTGCCGAGTTAGACTTGTTAGTTCCAGCCAGAACCCAGCAGTTGCATCACATTTGTTAAATAAAATATTGTGCACATATTTTGTGACAAGTTGTTAATTTCCGCTTTTTAAAACTTGTGTTAAAGAGCCACCTTTGAATATGTGGTTCCGTTGGTAGCCTAAAGGTTACAGTCGGAACTCTTCCCCACTTCTTTTGAGATCTAGTTATCTTATGGCAAGATCTTGAAAAGATGGTTCCACTGCACCTCCTAGTAAATTGGTTGATTTCGACTGAGCGATGGTAATGAAAATGTAGATTGTAATGGCACCAGATTTTAATATATGGTATGGAGAGTTATATTGCTAGTTTTAAAAGAGATACGTGATGCCATTTTAATGAATGAACAACTAACCAACTAATCAAACTACCATTAAAAACACAACACCTTGGTAAATGTAATACAGTTCTTACTGCATATATGTTAATTTAATATAAAGAATATAAAACGGAGGCTTCAAAAAGTTTACTCCAGTAGTCCAGTTAGACTATATCAAACTCTTCAGATAATTCATTAAATGACTGGTATGTCGATGGCAATTCCAAACTAGGGGTACATGTGTGAGCAATGGGCCTACGTGCTAACCCATCTACACTAACAAAGTGACTTCTAAGCTATCACAAATTATGATATCACTCCCAGTTGTAAACTGCAAAAAGGCTGAAAGCGCTCCATCTGTCAAACTCTTTACAAACCTTTTTAAATGATCAAAACTTTCCCTTTCAGCATCATTCCCTGGTTGTGCTGACAATAACTTAAGAACCTTCTTAGGGCTTACAGTTTTTTCCTCATACATGCTTCTTAAATCTTCAATTGTCTTAAATGGGTCAAATACAGTTAAACATTTAAGCATTGTTGACCAACATGCTGCTATATATTTTGGTCTCTGCACAATTTCTTGGTGGGCAAGCTGAAAAATAATTTCATTGATATTTTCTGCATTTGCAACACGAAAGCACTTGTAAGAACTTAAAAAGTCTAATGTATCCTCATTGTTTATGTCAAAATGCCCATCCATACAAGCATTAATTACTTCCTTTTCATCTGCTGAAACATAGAGCTTAAATGAATCAAGTAGTAAATCATTAGACAACTTTTCTTCCCCTAGTATGCATAAAGCTACAAATGCCACTGATAGATTGAGTGGAAAATACTTTGTGCTAATGTACCCATATATCAAAACCCGTGCAACTGCTTCCCAATCATTTTTTTGGAAATCATGTCGAATGCTTGGTACTTTTTCTTTTGCGCCTACTGCCAAAGAGGTAAAAAAGGATTGCCAGAAAAGGGTTAGGATTTCTCTAGTAACTCCTCTACCCTCACCTTTCTCAAGTGCACCATTACTAGCAATTACTCTTAAATTAAGATTGTAATTAAGTATTTCTTTATCTTTGAACTCTTTGATTAGATCCTTCATGACATTTGTTCTATGGACCAATATGTCTTTCACAGACTTGTCCATAGCAGTAAGATCTATTGTGTCAACTACAAAATTAAAAATATTACTTCTCTGAACATGTTCTCAATGTAAAAGTTAAATTGTTATTCTTAAAAAATAGCAGTTCTGGATTTAATCAACTAAGTGTTTTGAACGTCATAAAGATATTTAAAATGGTTGCAATCCTGGTGCAAGCAGTCTATGCTAGAACCAATGTTTGTTCATGTTTATTTTCATTAGTAATATTACCTTCATCATCATCAACAACTGTAGTAGGTGCAAAAGTAGGACCAGTTATAATGGTATATGCAGCAGTAGGTACAGTAGTAGGGCCAGAAGTAGGACCAGGGCCAGAAGTAGGACCAGGGCCAGAAGTAGGACAAGGGTCAGAAGTAGGACCAGGGCCAGAAGTAGGACCAGAAGTAGGACCAGGTTCAATTATAGTAGGTATGACCTCTGCAGTTGAGGCATTGCTGTAATAATCACAGAAAAAAACTGAATGGCCCATATACCTGAAAACCCAGTGTAAAGAACTTGGCAAACCAGAACTTTTAAGATTGCAATTGTCTTTTGAAAACCAACCTTGATTCGTTGTCAAAAGCAGAATGCATCAAAATACTGTCATCGTCTTCCAGTTCTGTGCATCTCAGGTATATCGCACCCTGGCCTGCCACTTTGAGAATTATCTCAGCTGTAGCTTCAACCCCATTAGCCAAATTTAAGGGCACCAGCTTTCCATAACACGCCTGAAAGCATATTTTTTATATTTATTGGGAATCACAGACGTATACCTCCTCCAATCAGCCAAATACATGAGTAATTAAATTTTGTGATGTAATTATCCCTCCCTGACAACCACAGGGACAAAACAAAAGAATAGACTATTTTTGGGGATGCACTGTACATTCAACATACTGTACTGTACTGTACTGTACTGTACTGTACTGTACTGTACTGTACTGTACTGTACTGTACTGTACTGTACTGTACTGTACTGTACAGCTCAGCAACAAATATGTATCACATTTCAGACAAAAGTATGTACAATTACAGTGAAAATACAAAAAGTGTCCCACTTCCGCTTCTGTAGTTTGTTGTGATTTACTGTAATTTGTTCTGTTTTTCTGTAGCGATTACCGATTTATCGACAAATACCGCGATAAAACTTAGTTTTTTTCTATTTTTAAATATGATAATTTGTAGCAAAGGGAAATAATACATTTTTCGTTAGTTTCATTGCATAAAAGGAACGGAATCTAAATTTTATCGCAGTATTTGCCGATAAATCGGTAATCGCTACAGAAAAACAGAACAAATTACAGTAAATCACAACAAACTACAGAAGCGGAAGTGGGACACTTTTTGTATTTTCACTGTAAATTTAAATTTGTCTAAAGTAAATTCAACAATTTACACTATAACAGCTCACATCAAGATTTTGAATGATGGCAATAGTAGAAAGTCTGGTATGCAATGGGGGTGGGGGTTCAAATCTATTTGTTGACGGCCCCTAAATGAATAAGATACAAAGCCAAGAGGGGAATGGTTACAGATAGATAATAGCTAATTATCCAATGAGACTTGGATCACTCCATTTAAAACATATGTACACCCCCTGTTGACAACATCCCCTGATATTATGACCCATTAGAAAAATTTTTTTGCCTCAGAAACTTTAAAATTTTCACCGACCTCCCAGGAATTGTTGTCAACAGGTAGTTATGCACCAGTCATTTGAAACCCCCGATCCCCCC